TGAATGTAATAACATGTTTGCTAGCCTCCCAGAAAATAAAAATGCCCCTACTATTGGACAGATGAAGGAATTGTTGACATTTTGGGAATTACCCTAATGTTCTGACCTGCCAAGATAAATAATTCTGTCATGTCTATTTGTTAATATGAAGCCACAGCAAGGAAGCTGTTAGCTTAGTGTAGCATTTAAGACTGGGAAAAGCTAACTTATCTCTGTTCAAAGGTCAAATATTCTGTCTAGCGGAACCTCTAAGACTCGTTAATGAGGCATGATAAATCTTGTTTTAACAAAGGTTTAAGAGCCCTGTTTTATCAGGATCAAGTCTGAGACTGACTTAAGTCTACGATGGGCTAACCCAGGGGTGTCAAACTCAAATACACAGTGGGACAAAATAAAAAAATCAGTTCTAGTTGAGGGCCGGTCTGGTTCAATGTGTATTGCAAGACTTATTGAAGTGAACTTATTGCACATATTAAACTAACAAAGCTTAAACTATTGCCGATAAAAACAACATTAAACATTAAATTGCATTAATTTCTTGTGGCTCTATCTGCAGAGTCATTTCTTATGATTACATTTTTCCACAGGCCAACAACAGCTTCAAAAAAACAATTTCCCTCAAAGAAAAAACCTTGTTGTCTCAAGAAAAAGTGCAGAAGGAAACATCCATTGAAACTCAGTGTGCTGCTCTGTGATGTTCAAGCCAGATACTTGGAATCTCATCTTGGGTAAAAGTTCATCAATGTTTGGGGTCAGGCTCTGAGCTGAGGAGATCCTCAGGATTGAGTGAAGGTGTGCGTGCACTATACCGGCGGGCCAGATCTAACAGTCATTACAATTATCCTGCGGGCCAAAATTAAATCCACCAAGGGCCTGATTTGGCCCCCGGGCCTTGAGTTTATTTAGCTTTTAGCTGCCTATTGTGACAGCTAACTATGTGTATTTAAAAAAAAAAAAGAGGAATATTTTCGGTGAATACTAAAAGGTACCATGGGGTCAGATTATAATTTCCTAAAGGGGGGTTCGTTTAGCATGAAACACTTGAAATAAGTGAAACAAGAAAGTAGAAAGTGAGGTGATAGAAAACTATTTCTGCTAAAAGGTTAGCAATGATTGAGAGCCTGATTTGGCCCTCTGGCCTTGAGTTTGACACATGTGGGCTAGCCTATTGTGACAGCTAACAACAGTGAGTTATGCAAGTAAAACATTCACTTGGTTTTCTGTCTACAGCTCAGACTCATCTACCTATTTGAGCCCATCCACACGGACTTAAAGTTTTTTGTAGGTTTATATTTATGCGAAGTTTGGATGATGATCAAAAACAAGCCAACCTAAAAATGTATGATTTTTGCTCATGAAAGGAATCTATTTGTGTTGGACGTCAGTGTCAAATTTCTGTTCATACTATCACACAATCATGTGGGTTTTGATCCATTTGGTATTGCAAAATAGAGTCCTTTAACATAAACAAGATATTATTACAGAAACATCATGAAGAGTACATATGGGCAAGTAAAGCAGGTGAAATGGCTCCTTCTGGTTAGTAAAATAGGGGTCAAAATATAGTGTCAAGATAATATAGAGATCAATTTGTTTCCTTGTGCATCAGCTGATATTATGCTATGTATAGACATTATTCTGGTCGGAAATGACATGAAATTGTTAAAAGTATTTTGTAAAACAATCCCATAAAGGGTTAATGATACCACTACAACATTATTTCTGTCTGGTGAATGACTGTTCCAGTTTTACTTTTGATTGTTCTGCTTCCCTAGGGCAGTGTTTCTCAAAGTGTGTGATTATTATTATTTTTTAAATACATTTTTTGGACCTCAGACCGGAATCGAACCTTGGTCCTCGCGGGCGGTAGTGGACTGTTACAGCCGGAGACTCGCAACGGGTGTTTGCGGCGGCGGATGCGGTACCGGCGCTGTGAAAGTCCACCTATGCCAGAGCCAGCGACCCACCGAAGGCAGCAGCCACACGCACACACACGCGCGCACACACACACACACACACACACACACACACCACACACACACACACACACACACACACACACACACACACACACACACACACACACACACACACACACACGTTGCAGTCGGGAAGAAAAGCAATGTGGAGCGGCACCTCACCACTTCATGATAAAGGAGTTTAACCGTGACACTTTTCGAAATCCCGTTTGTGTCCCCCCACTTTACAAATATGTTTATTATTATTTTTTAACGCAAGCCGTCATCGCCACGAAGGACCACACAGCTTCTGTGAGCGAGCGAGTGAGACAGAGAGTACACCTTTATCTATTTAATATATTGTAAAAAATAAAGTAAGAAATCATTCCAATGTGTGCTAGGCAGGGTTGGGTTGTAATGGAATACATGTAACGGCGTTACGTAATCAGAATACAAAAAACAAGTAGGCTATCCTAACTGTATGTATTCAGCTGGTGTTACATTTGAAAAACCAGTAATCTGATTACAGTTACTTTCGTAAACCTGAAGTGAATACATTTTGGAATACTTATTGGAATTATTGGTGGAAAAGTTTACTCACAAAATGTAATATTCATTACCGGCAGAACTGTGTGCACACTGCACAGCGCTGCAGCGTGTCTGTGAGCGAGAGAGATGCAGCGTGTCTGTGAGGCCCCGCCCCCGCACGCAGGTGAGAGAGAGAGGTCTCTTTTAAAATATATTCAAAATTAGAAACGGAGATGGTTAGATAAAATGTGCAAGATAACGTTTATGTAGCATTTCTTTATTGTCGAAATGATGACATGTCATAACGGGATCAAATCAAAGTGAATGGAAACAGTTTTAAAAGTTATTACATCGTTTCAGATAATACATAATAATGATAATTCATTCTATTTAGGGGCGCCTTTCAAAGCACCCAAGGACACCTTACAATTCATAACATATTCCAAGGAAAGGTTTTAAGACAGTACAAAGAATGCAGTCCGGGTGATGTCCAGAATGACGCCAAGATGTTGTGTTTGAGTTCTTGAAAATGGAAAAATAAAAAGTATTCTAAAAGTAATCTGAATACGTTCGGATTAATTTCAGAGCCATGATTTCAGTATTCAGTAACTGATTACATTTACAAAGTAACCCTCCCAACCCTGAGTATAGGACAGTAAAAAAAGAAAAAACAGTTTAAAAGGGGAGTGATTAGTAAAATATGCATACATAGAAAGAAAGAATGCTAACTAGGTAACATAAGATACGAATAAACCAGTTTAAATGATTTGTTATTGGTTGTGATCATATTCTAAAGATGTTTGGATTATTGAAAAGTATGCAGCTCCCTTTCATCTGAGTGTTGAGAGCTGTATCCATAAATTCATCTGGTGCTCAAAGAGATTGATGCATTTCATTTCAACATTTAAAAAAACATCTTCCTGGGGGTGCATGCCCCCGGACCCCCCTAGAGGATGTGAGGTCCACCCTGGAGGAGGTGAGGTCCCCCCTGGAGGAGGTGTGGACCCGCCTAGAGGAGGTGAGGTGCCCCCTAGAGGAGGTGCAGACCCCCCTAGAGTAGGTGAGGTCCCCCTAGAGGAGGTGAGGTGCCCCCTAGAGGAGGTGCAGACCCCCCTAGAGTAGGTGAGGTCCCCCTAGAGGAGGTGAGGTGCCCCCTAGAGCAGTGTTTCTCAAACTTTTTCACACCAAGGACCACTTAACCAATAAAAAAACACTCGCGGACCACCTAACTCCACAAATATCCAAAAACACATCATTTTTTGCAAATCGCCTGAAAATGGTACAAACAAGTGGCAACATGTGTGATGAAGGTGTTTATCTGGGCTATATCATGCAATTGAAAGTAAAACTTAAGCTCGTTCCATTGCGGAGATATTCCCGCGAGAGTGCGGAAAACTTTAATTAATTAATTCATTTCAAATGTGAAATGTTACCAATATACTCACGGACCACTAGGGGGCGCTCACGGACCACCAGTGGTCCGCGGACCACACTTTGAGAAGCACTGCGAGGAGGTGCGGACCCCCCTAGAGTAGGTGAGGTCCCCCCTGGAGGATGTGAGGTCAACCCCAAAATAAAGCATGTTCAAATAATTAAATTGCATACATGTTCTTTTAGTAAACACTGAAAACGGGTCCCACAGACCCAAACAGCACACAAAGGTTAAAGGTCAGCATATCATAATGTTAAAATGTGCTAAATATATACACTGCAAAAAACTAAAAAGAGAGGAGTAAAAGTCGCTCACGACAGGTGGGGCTTGAAAAGGCCAACCTGTTCAAAGTGGGGAATGGCAGAAAAAGTTTGAGAACCACTGCCCTAGGGTGTAAAGCCCTTTTGACCTTATACTCACCCGGGAGGAACAAAGTGGGTCCAGAATTGCAGAATGTTTGCAGCAAGCAGCCAATCAGTCAATAGATTCCTGTGGCTTGTGCGACATGATGACTTATGTTAACGAACATCCCTTTGAACCAAGTGAACACATGCACCTTCCGGGCGCAGAACAATATAATTTAACAAAGAAGAAGGCTAATTTGATACTACATTTTGACTATGAGGCAGAACACTTCATTATGTATTCATAGTCTATGCACAATTACAGTATTATAACACATTCACCACAATATAAACGTATGTATTGGCAACATTATCAATCATTCATTGAAATCCAGTCAAATTGAGTCCTTTGTTTACATTCTCGTAAATTAATCTACACATGAGCTATCAATGAATTTTATCACCTGGGAGTTTTTCTCTAAGGAAACGAGCAAGCGGTTTTTTTTGTTTTTACAGTAGGTGATTGAATTGTGTGATTTCAGTATTAGTCATCGATGGATAAGTGGCGGTTCCTACCAGACCCCGCCTCTGTCTGTGTTTCTATCCTTTTTTCTCCGTGCCTCAGGTGTGTCTTCCTCTGACTCCGCCTCCATTATTTGCAGGGTATATGTACTGCTGCAGACTCTGTGATCCAGTAGCAACAGCTCACCTGCAGACTATAAAGCGGCTATTCATCCACAGAGCTGAGACACACACTTCACACAATGGCTGGGGATCAACGCGTTGTAATCAGTGCTCGCATTATTGGAGCCGTGCACAGGGACACTCCTAAACTCAAGGTGAGTTAACACAACAGGCGTGATTTAACTGAAGATTTAACTGTGTGATTTTCTGTATTTGTGTAAAAAATGTCATCCCTCATCCTTCATTATTTGTATTTCTCCACAGATGTTCATGATTTCTGTGTTGTGGTCGGACAACACTGAAGTGATCATTTACAGGTCCTTCCAGGAGTTCAGGAAATGCCATGTAAGTCCTCAAAAACAAAATAAATCACACATGTTCTTAGATTGGTGTTTATTTTGTAGAAATAATAAACGTTTATTTTTCTTTCAAACAGAGGCAGCTGAAGAAGAGATTCCCTAACATGAACATTTTCAAGAAAAATAACAGAGTGATCCCCAAATTTAGAGGTAAGAATAGTTCAAATGTATGTTAGAAAAGGTCTATTTTAATAGTCTCCTTACACAGAAATGGTGCATTTGCAGCCAATAATTAGAGGAAAAGCCAACTAGAACACTGCAAACATTTAGCTGAAGTATTGTCTAATGTCTTGTTTTTCAGTTTTAACTTAGATTGAAGCAATTAGATGGATATTACATTTTGTACTTTCTTAGAAAAATGCTATATAAATATAGTAATTCATCTTATTTCTCAGCCTGTCTGGTAATAATCTTTGGGCGTTTTCCTTCCCTATGACTGTTTCCTTCATGAATCGGTGAACACATTTACAGTTTGGACTAGACGCTGCTCTCTTTACAGTCTGGTAATAATCTTTAAAAATGTTCCTCTCCTCTCTGCAGGACAGGCCAGGAAGAGCAGCCAGAAGAAAGGATCCAAGCGCTCCATCCAACGCATGAAGTTCCTGGAGAGCTACTGCGAAAAACTTCTGAAGTGCGATCAAAGTGTGACACGGACCCCAGAGGTGACTCAGTTCTTCATGCCCAAAGATCACGACCTGCAGCCAGACTTCACCAAGAACAGGTCAGTTCTCACACCAGAGTTTCAGATCAAATTACAAGAGAGTTTAAATGAGTTCTTTATTATTAAATGACTGATTTCTCTCTCACACAGCATCATGATCCTGATGTCTAATGATCTGCCTGATGGAGGAGAAGAAGTTTCTCACCAGCCTACAGGCAGCGTCACTCACCCATTTGTCACCCAGACTTACTCCTGCGTGGCCGCCTACGAGACAAAAGATACCAAGAATCGTCCGTTTAAGGTCGCTATGGGCGAGAAGCTGGACGTGCTGATCAAAGATCCTGCAGGTCAGTGCCTCAGCTTTCATGTAGATGGCTACTGGACATCAGCAAAACAAACTTGAGCTACTCTTTCTGTATTTCTGTGATGCTTAAAGGTTGTTGTATTTCCTCTCCAGGTTGGTGGCTGGTTGAGAACGACTCAAAGGGTTTGGCTTGGTTTCCTGCTCCCTACCTGCAGTTATTGGACGGAGAGGATGAGGAAGACTCTGTATTCCAGAATGCAGGTGTGTGTTATTTTCAGTCAAATTATAATGTACAGGAATGCATGTAGCAAGAAATGACCTCATTGAACAAGTACACATAACTCTTTTATTCTTTATGGAAAAACATTGAAATGTACATACAGTACATGTTATAGTTGTACTCAACAATGCAACTAAATGCAAATTGAAATACAATTAGAACACTAAAATGCTTAAAATAAACTTCATGAAATCATATTCTAAGAACAAAAAGTGTACATTATTCTTGTTTAATTATTTCTTCATCCAATTTGACAGTTTAATCACTTATTTGAGCATTACAAAGTTTAACAATTCGGGTAACTTAAGCTATTTTACATTTATGTATCTTACAGTCACATTAAAACAGTTACCAAATCAGTCTACTATCACCTAAAGAACATATCTAGGATTAAAAGACTAATGTCACAGCAGGATTTGAAAAAACGTGTCCATGCTTTTATCTTTTTGTCGCTGCTTTTAATTGAAACTGAGCGGTTGTGTTTCGTTTTTGGTTAATGAACATTTGGGGCTAGTAACCCCAGGGAATCAGTGTCTGGGGACTTTGTCCTGGCTGGTTTTCTCTGTGTATGCTGCTCGGGACGTATGTGCCATACAAGCGTACACAGCTCATGTTCGGAGAAACCTTAAAGAAAGTCATCAGTAAAATGGAACTTCTGTGTGAACTATTCATATCTTAAACTGCACTGTAACTTTGTATTCATGCACTTTTTATTCATGTACTTTTTATTCATGTATTTTTTATTCATGTACTTTTTATTCATGTATTTTTTCTTTTAATGTTTCTTTTATTATCTTTTCTTTTTAACGACTGTTTTTAAATGCCTTTGTCTGAATGTCTTTCATTTTTTTAAAGCGCCTTGCCTTTCCTTTCCTTGCCTTGCCTTTTTATACAAAAATGGTATCATGTAAATTGCGCTGACAGGCGACAGAGGTCCACAGTTGTCCCGCAGCGAGGCTCCCCCGCCCTCCAGTAGACAGTTCACGAGCTCAGTCACTTCATAACACCAAAGATGGGTCGCGGTAAACGCTCTGAAGTGAGGCTCCACTACACTAAAAAAGAAAAAGACGAGGCACAGTGTAATGCCTGTTAATAGCTTGCCACAGGCATAGCTCAGTTAAAATAAAGCACAGCTATTGTGCAATACATTTGTATTGCATATATATTTTTTGTTGTAAAATTGTCAGTTAAAGCTTAAAAGAATAAAGATATTTTTGTTATCTAAACGTTTCATCTCTTTCTTTTACAATTTTGTAATCGAAACGGGGAATCGATAAGAACCGGAATCGGAATCGATACATTTCAAACGATACCCATCCCTAAAGCTAACATACATCTATTCTCTTCTAGTCTTTAACTGTACTGCAACATTGCTGATCTTGTTAACTTCTTTGTGACCACTAGGTGACCTGTACTGTGCCGTGAGGAGTTACACAACGAAGCAGCACGACGAGGTGTCTGTGCCCATCGGCTCCGCGGTGGAGGTGCTGAGGAAGTCTCACGACGGCTGGTGGCTCGTCAGGTATGGAATCTTATCTGTCTGCACTGCAAACAATAGAGAATAGGAACACGGAGCACATTTTAAAAAAGGCTGGTTGAAGCACTTATGAATGCTCTTTTATTGTCTTTTCAAGCAAACACATCACAAACCTATTATTGTCTATACGAAGAGTTAGAAATTGGGTTTTGTGCAATTTGATAAATAAATGCTAAATAAGTTCTCTCAACTTGATCGGGATGTTATTATAGTTTGCAAAAGTTGTAATGAATTATCTTTCTTTTGCAATCCTCTCCAGATTCAATGGCAAGGCAGGTTACATCCCCTCCATGAACCTTCAGCCCTATAACAACCCTCGGGCCGGCCTCTACAGCCTGCAGAGGAAGCTGCACAGCTCCGCCCTGAACCTGGCCTCCAGCAGGGAGGCTCCGGCTTCACGTCGATCCAGCGATAACACCGGTCTGCGAAGTGATTCTGCAATTCAATTCAGAGGGCATCTCCACAAGGCCCGATCCCTGGACGTCCTCTCTGAGACCCGGACGCAGATGGAGAGGGATACAGAAGAAGCCCGAGCACGAAGCATGAGCAACACAAGCACCGATACCAGCTTCTCAGACTTCGAATCCACATCCAACTTAGCAGACAGAGGAAGTCCTTTGGCATCGCCTCGGCAAAGCGACAGCAACATTGATCTCAGCCTCTTAGACCGGTGTGGCTCCGATACCAGTGACGAGAGGTCTGAATCTGCAAGCTCCAATGTTTCTAGGAGATCATCAGTCGTTCCCCAGGTGCCTGCTCGACCCAAAACAGAGGAGATCCTGACCCGATGCTCCACCATGACCCGAAAGGCAGCTCTGGCCAACAAGACCCGGCTCCACAGTCAGCCGGAGGCCATCCACCGCTGCTAGGGAGTCACATTCCTTAGATTTATTCAGTGTGCATGTAACATGTTCACCATAACAGATTCTGTCAGTCGGTTGTGCAATATTGTTCATCCTGCTGCCATACCAAAGATTTAAAACGTGCGTAATAGAATAAGAGGATGCCAAGAAATTTCACGTGAGGTTTGGAAATATCACTCAGTACAACAATAATGATAATATTAATAATAATGTAGCTTCAGTGAAGCATTTAAAAGGAGATGAAGAAAATGTATTGAACTTTTATTAATTTGTTTAGCTTTGAAACCACTTTTCCAGGAAATGTAAGTTAAATATTTACATTTAACTGTTTTAAGTATCATTCTTTAAGTTTGTGTACGGTTTGGAACTATTCATGATAGAAAAGATAAGTCAATCATTAAACTATTAAGCACTTTTACCACTATTTACGGTTTAATTCACGGCAAAACCTACATAATTAATTTAATAATGTTTATTTTGTTATATTTTACTATCTTATACTGAATTGAAGTTCTTAATTAAGAACATAACAGGAAAGTTGTTTATTGTATGAATATGTATACTGATGTGCTTGTACTGTACGTAACTGTAACATTAACATGTCAATAAAATCAAATATACTCTAAAGTTACAAGATGTCCTTGTTTAATGAATACAAACAGAAGAGTGTGCTTTTTTCTCCTAATTCATCAGGATTAATAGCCATAAGTTATAATTTAAAAAACGAAAATTTGCTTTATTGATCTGATGTTTTTTGTAAAGGTTTAAAGGTGCTTCACCAATGTTTGAGTAAACTCCAGATAACACAAGCAACAATAAAAATACGAAACATTGGAGATAACTATTCTCAACACATAAAAAAGCACCTAATAAAAGCTTTCAAAAATGAAATAAGGCATTTAAAAGCAGGTATACACCTCCCTGAGATATTATAAGTAAATAGGAAAATGTAAAAGTATGTGTGAGGAAATACGGTTTATATAAAGAAAAATACTAACATCTCTATATTTATCTAAATTGTATGTAAATTAAATGTTTTACCAGTTTAAGGTGCATGCCTTTCTGGCTCAGCGACATGTAAAGAGTGTTATACAATAATGCAGATGAGAAGGAAATAGGGAATTTAAACATCTCAATTAACATTGAAGAGGGAATGATCTTACTTTTTAAATATTCACAAATTGCAGAGATTATGCTTTACAATCGCATCCACTCAGGGCCGCGCCTGGCCAACTTGGGGCCCCAAGCGACTTTGTGAGATGAGCCCCCCCCCCCCCCCCCCAACAGGAGTGAAACATTTTTTTTTGGAAACAAAGTAGGCTACTTTGCAAATATAATTCCTGTTTATTATTATTATAACACATTTACTTTTTTATACAGTGAGGTAAATGTGCATGTATGTCGTTCAGTATGCATTTCCTGCCAAATACTAGCCTCAAAAAGATTAAAAAATAATTAATGCAAATAAACTACTTCTAATAATCATAATCAATTCAATAATATAAATACTATATTATTTTATTATAATATAGTTGTAATATAGTCAAGACAAAACATGCTTATGCCATGCTCAAAAACTGATATTTCTTAAATCTGTATTCAAATGTAGTTCCCTCTGTCAGCAATGTATCAACAACTACACACACATTTCTATCAGTATTTCTCTGTGTTGTGGTTGACATGATGATGACTGTTAGGAGTTAAGGGAAGAGGCTGAGCGTCACCATGAAATGTGCAAATTGACATAAAAATGAATAAAAGGGGAAAAAATGCTCCATGTTGTTTAGGCTGTAAACTTTAACTGTTATGTAAGCCAACTAGACAGACAGTGTATCACTCTTCCTCCTGTACACTAGCAGATAAAAGGCATAACATACTTGAATGAATGGTAAATAAAGAATGCTGGAAATAACTGCATCTCCATTAGCCTATATGCTATGCAGAGACTGCCTTCTTCATGTCGTGAATTGCAGCTGATGTTTTAATATGGCAATTGGCAATTTGACTTATACAACATTCGTAAGTCGTACATTTAACTCATACAATAACCCACCTTCGAGTGATGCTCTAGTTTCTTCATGTTTTGTTTTGTTTCCCTCTTGCTTGCGCCTGACTGAAACTGTCTTTTCACCGACATCTCTTCACCTGCACTAGTGGCCGTGATTGGTCAGATGTCAATTCATTGCAACGGTGTCGGGTTACAGACGTGCTCCCCTTGACACCTCACTCTCGCGGGGGGTGCGCGGATAACTGAGCAGAGAAACTGCATTGTTGTTAAAACAATATAACAGTTTATAGTCACGCACATTTGTAGGGCTGTCACCAAGATCAAACACAGTATGTAGAGTTTAATACACTTTAGAGAGCAGATATGTAGAATCTTAGATGCATTTTGGAATGCTATTATTTTAAACAATGGAAATGCCAATGATTTCTGCTTTAAACTAATTATTTTCAATTAATGTTTGCTAGTGAAGTCATTGTACAAGTGTCTGAGACCAGGATATTGACCAGCTTTCACAGAAATGTTCTCCAGTCAGGAAATATTTACACGATTGAACCTTCACTGAACTGGAGACAGTCTACTAGAGAGAGATCAGAGGTCAATAATCACTTCACTCACGTTCCTCCTGAGAAACTCGCTTATGGGGCATCTCTCTCTCTAGGTCGCCCTCCATCGTCGCTTCCAGTCATCCCGGTTCTCCATACATCTGGCCAGTTCATTGGTACTTTGTGCTCCTGCGTCGTTCTTGAGTACGTCCACGTATGTTTGTGCGGGACGTCCTCGTGACCGATGCCCGTGTGTTGGTTCCCACAGCACCAATTTGCCGGCTGGCAGCTCTTGATGCCTTTGGCAATGTCCTGCTAGTCTCATTCTCCTGGCTGCAATTTTCTCGCTCACCCTTGGTATTCCCTCGTACAGGATGTTGTTGGTTAAATGTACACTCTTGCTGATGTTAAATACTGCTCGCAACATTCTGGTGTAGCATTCGTCTAGAGACTTTTGCAGGGTTGGCTTCAGAGTCCAGCATTCACTGCCATAGAGGAGAACAGACTCTACCGTTGCATAGAAGAAGCTGAGTTTGATTTGACGGGGGAGGTTGGAGTTCCATACACTGGTCATGCCATTCAGGGCCCTCCATGCAAGTGCCTTCCTCACCTTAAGATCTTGCTCGGTTGAGTTGACCCATGAGCCCAGGTACTTGAAGTCCTTGACTTATTTAAGCACAGTGCCTTCTGTTGTTGTCAGAGGTGGATGTTCCTGTAAGATGTTATAGGTAATAACCTCAGTTTTCTTGGCGTTTAGCCTAAGGCCAACCTTGGCACACTCTGACTCCACTCTGTTCAGGAGTTCCCGTGCTTGCTCCACGCTGTCAGAGAGCAGGCTGATGTCGTCCGCATAGTCCAGGTCTGTCAGGACTACTGTGGGGTGTCGTCTCGACCTCCTTGGTGTTAGAGTGAAGCCGAGATCCTGCTCTCGTCCACTGATGGCCTTCCTGAGCGCGTAATCCAGGACCATGATGAAGAGGAAGGGGGCCAGGGTGTCCCCTTGCATTACCCTAGCCAGGATGTCAAACTCCTCGCTGTTGCCATCTGGGGTCACCACCCTGGCCCTTGTTCCTGCGTACATGGTCTCTATTGCCCGGAGTAGATTGGGAGGGACACCGTAGGCCTCAAGGATCTTCACCATTGTGCTTCTGTGGATCGAGTGAAATGCCTTTTTGAAGTCGATAAAACACAGTACAGCAGTCAGGTTATCCTTTTTCACCTCCTCGATCATTCTCCTTAGCGCCAAGATCTGGGAGGCTGTGTTCTTGCACCCGCTCCCGGTTACGCTGTATCTGGAATTCATTATCAACTCAAACAGTGAAGGCAGTATTCTCGCCCCTGCTCCTGGTAGGCGTGTTGCTTGATTCTAGCAGGAGCCGCCTGGCTAGGCTGTCCTGTTAAACTTCCTTGTTTAACCTAGCTAGGTGCGGGCCTGTCCATCCAACCCAGTCTCACAAAAAAACGTGTACTAACTACGTTGGTCCACAACGTAGGACGTAGTATATCTACAAAAACGCCTCTGAAATTGTAAGATGCCTACGTTTTTTTTCACCATTCATTCCAATGGCTGGCTTCTATGTCACGTGATCTTCAAATTTCTCCCTGCAGAAAAAAAAACATGGCCGACCTTCGTTTTATTCTCGGTGTAAAATGCCTATTTTAAGGTTAGTTTGGTCATTAAAATGCGTTTTGATGTCATTTTATGCGAGAAATATGAGTTGTTATTTAAGATTATGTGTGCAGTGGGTGTACATGATCTTTAGTTTGCTAGTTATTACGAAGATTACTTCAGGAAATTGTGTCCATTCAACGTTTTCATTGTTCCCAAGATGGTTGCTAGGGACGCTGCTATCGATATTATTTCTGTTATGTTGTGTAAAATGGTGTTATCTTTATTGCTACCCCCTTCCCCGTCAATGTATAGTGTTGGTCCACAGTGCAAACGTAGGCCTATTAGTTTAACAAAATCAAAGGTACAAGCTAGACTTATATTTAGCATCTCAAAACACATCGGACCGGCGGAGACAGGAAGTCCGGCTCACTAAAATGTCCGTGAAGAACAATAGCCTGGCCTAACCCATAGATCCGTGGGTGAATAATGTCAATCACCACAATAGATACCTTATTTTCCGTTACCAACACCGTTATTAGTGTTGGTCCACTGCTTTTCTCTTTGAAAGTCATCACATAACGGCATTGTAATACACGGTTCGGCTGCATTAAATGTTACATATCTGCTGTAGTTCTCTATTTATAGAGCCTTGATGAGACAAACATGATGAACTGGAAACGTGACATGGATCATAAATATATCAGTAATTAAACAACATCTTACATTTCTTTTCACACAATACGTCTCCTTGCAGTATCAACACTAATTCGGCTGACTTTTATATTTGATCCAATTGGTAGATAGGCTGTATTTACACCATAAAGGTGCACAGCTGATATAAAGG